ACACTGAAGGGGATCACTACAACACCTTACCACCCACAAACAGACGGGTTAGTAGAAAGATTTAACGGAACATTGAAGAACATGCTTCGTCGATGTACTAGCCAGAACCCCAGAGATTGGGACACCCTACTACCTTACATACTATTTGCATATCGGGAAGTGCCACAGGAGTCGACTGGATTCTCACCATTCGAGTTGTTGTATGGAAGATCAGTAAGAGGACCGTTAGACATTTTAAAGGAGAGTTGGGAATCCAGGGAGAACTGCCCCGAGAATGTAGTCACATATGTCACAGAGATGAGGAGACGACTGGAGGAGATGACTGGTATAGTAGGAGAGAACATGAAGAAATCACAAGTTAAGCAGAAAAGATGGTATGACCGAAAAGCAAGACATCGGGAGTTCAAAACAGGAGACAAAGTCCTAGTGTTATTGCCATCAACTACTCACAAACTGACAGCAGAATGGAAAGGCCCTTATGTAGTAAAACGAAAGGTTGGGGATGTTGACTATGAACTAGAGATGAATGGAAAACAAAAGAAGTACAAGATATTTCATGTGAACATGCTACGACAGTGGTACGACAGAACTGATACAAGTTTCCTAATGGGTGAGGTGAACAAGGAAGAATCTGAGATAGTTCCAGTCATTGAGGCACCAGACTTTGAGACAACTGAACTAATAGTGGGAGAGACACTGGATGAGAGACAGAGAGAAGATTTAACCCAGCTGTTAGCTCAATACAAAGATGTGATCACAAGTGACCTGGGACGAACGACTTTAGCGGAACATTGTATTGAGGTAGAAGGAGCATCGCCCTATCGTCAAAGCCCGTACCGCATTCCACTTGGAAAGCAAGAGGAAGTCAGAAAAGAAATACAGCGAATGGAGGACATGGGAGTCATCCGACCAACTACAAGTGATTGGGCATCACCAATGGTGATTGTACCAAAGAAAGACGGGAGTATCAGGTTATGCGTGGATTACCGCAAGCTGAACAATGTGTCCAAATTTGATGCTTATCCAATACCAAGAGTAGACGAAATGATTGACAGAATGGGAAGTGGAAAGTTTATCACCACGCTAGACCTTAACAAAGGTTACTGGCAAATACCAGTGGAGAAGTCATCACAAGAGAAGACGGCCTTTATTACACCAATGGGTCTATATGAGTTTGTGACTATGCCGTTTGGACTGCGAGGAGCCCCTGCTACGTTTCAAAGATTGATGGATCGAGTATTACGTGGGACAGAACAGTTCGCAGGAGCGTACATTGATGATGTGGCCATTCATAGTGAGACATGGGAAGGTCACCTGCAGCATCTTAGAGAAGTGTTAGAGAAGTTACAAGGAGCAGGATTGACTGCAAACCCAAGTAAATGTAAGTTTGGGATGACAGAGGTGTTATATCTAGGTCACAAAATTGGTGGTGGACGTGTGAAGCCAGAAGAGTCAAAGGTCAAAGCAGTTAAACAATACCCAGTACCCAAAACAAAGACTGAAGTCCGTTCTTTTCTGGGGCTAGTGGGGTATTATCGAAAATTTATACCTCAATTCTCTAGCATAGCTGCCCCCTTATCTGATTTGACAAAGAAGAATGTCAAGACTTTTGTGTGGACTGAAGAATGTCAAGCTTCATTTCAATTGTTAAAGAAGATGCTGTGTGGTTCACCTGTATTGAGGACGCCTGACATCAGAAAAGAAATGATACTTCAAACAGATGCTTCCAATCGAGGATTAGGTGCAGTACTGAGTCAAATTGGTGAAGATGGTGAAGAACATCCTATTGTTTATATTAGCAGGAAGCTTCTACCCCGAGAGGAAAAATATGCAGTGGTTGAAAAGGAGTGTTTGGCAGTAGTCTGGGCCATTCAAACGCTCAAGGTGTACCTATATGGACAACACTTTCGGATACAAACAGATCATCATGCGCTGTATTGGCTGGATCGAATGAAATCCAAGAACGAGAGGTTATCACGATGGAGTCTATATTTACAAGAATGGAATTTTCGAGTGGAATACCGTAAAGGAACAGAAAATGGAAACGCTGATGGCCTATCCAGGGGACCAGTTGTTGAACAACCTAGTTGTTCACTTGAAGTGGAGGGAGGTGTGATGAACTAGGATTATTGACTTGTAATTAATTTTTTGACCTCAATTATTTGTGTTTACTTAACTAAGTGTTAGTGTGTTAATGTGGTGTGTAGTTTCTTCTAGTTAGTTACGGAACTCTCTGGAACCTTATATTTGTGTTTGTTTTATGTATGTATCTACTTAGTTGGGGATGCTTCCAGGGTCTTCTGAGAAGTGTCTGGACAATCTCTTGTGTGTGTATATATATAAGTGAATGTGCTTTAACAATAGATTTTAGATTTTAGATTTTAAAAGAGATTTTGGAGTTTTGTTTTATGAACATTGTTATTAAGAGAAGCCAACTCATCACACTATATGATAATAGAAACTAGTACATATGTATTGACTCTCACAATGAAAAGGTAATTTTAGAATAGCATTGATAAGATAGCCAAGACCCCAACAAGCTACGTACCACAATCCAACCATCACTCCTCTCATGTGTACTGGAGACTGAGCTACTGTAAACTCCAGTGATACTGGATACAATAATATAAAAGAAAGACTTTGGATAGTTTGTGGAATAAAGAGCAGTGTACCAAAGTTTTTTAAATCAGGATGATGGGGCCTCTCGATGACAAATATGATCACTTTAGAAACTGTAACAATGAAAGCAAGGAAGATACCAACACTCATTCTAGTCAGCATACTGGGAATATACTTGTAGAAACAAACTCTGATAAAGAATAAATAAACTAACATTACAATGACTGAGCAGAAATAATACTGAAAGTCTGTGACAGCTAAGCAAGTTAATAACTTAAAAACCTTACATGTAGACCAATAGTTGTCATCACTAAAAATAATTGCAACAAAACCAATGAATAATGGTAACATTCGAAATACTGTCTTCACATCTTCTACCTCTTCCTCTGTGAATGGTCCACCATATTTTTTTTTACCCAGGTCTAGTCTTGAAGGAGCCTCTTCCTCCCAGTAGGTCAGAGCACTACGATTCTGAGGATACTTGTGCTTCCTGGCATAACACAATACTCTAACTATCAGTTTGATGGGATTCTTGATCAGTGATATATTCTCCAGTTTGTGTTTGAAGAATGAATGAGACACCAGTACAAGAGATACAGATACACCTGATGCTATGAAAGTAATCGTGATAAAATAGATGCTATGAAATAAGCATTGAAGAAGAGAGAACAGTGATAAAACAATTGGTTCTGATAGTATATGCCAGTATATGACAGAACTAAGTTCATCAGCTGAAGCTCCAACAAGTTGATCAATGTTATACTGAATAATGTTAGCAGTGAAACTGGAAAAGCCACTGAACTGAAATGTGTATGCAATACAGTAAATAGCTTGTAATACTGTTTCAGAGGTAAGGTAGCTGTCCACAATAAATCCAATTCCTATTATAATCCATGATATAAAACACAATACTATACCAATCAGTATAGCTTTGTATCTTCCAATCCATACATCAGCTAACAGACCAAGAAAAGGGAATGAAAGCCAACCTAAGCATGTAAAAATAACAAAGCCATATTTATACCTAGGTTCAGAAGCACTTTCAGTTGAAGTTCCAGCAATGAAACGACTTAATGAGAAATATTGTGCATACATGAGGTAGTTCCATACTAGAACCAAGACTGCTGAAGGAGTAATATGAAGAAAAGGTTGCCATTTATTAGCTAACTGAGTGATAAAGGAGGTCAACATAATCCTTGTTATTGGATAGAGACTACTCAGTACACAATAATGGCATTTATACATACTGAAACATGACATTGCTAGTATCACAACTGTAACAATGAAACAGAAACATGACAATTAATAGCAGATTGAAATTA